CGGGTTGTGGGCTAAAACTACCCGATTATTTTTACAAGACATTTGCCCCCTTGCATGCACTGCACGAAACTTTGAACTTAAACACAGAAGTGGCCCAAAAACAAAATCTGCCAATGAGCCTAGTTTGGCTCTTACAGGAATCGTATATACTAGTGATTTTCACTGGACTCAATTTTTAGCTAGGCTGAGGATTTGAAGGAAGGATCTTCCCCATCCGTTGTGATGGAGATGTGCAGTCTGATAGAGAAAAGTAATATTAGAGCTCAGAGTTTTTATGCTAATGGAATATATGTAATTTCTATCATAACTATGTATGCCCTAAACTCCTACTGTATCTATTGTGGTAATATCTTTTATAGTTGTAACACTAATGCTTGAAACCCTGATGCTTGTAACTCCAATTATGATACTGATAGCAAGGAGATTGTCTATTGCGGCACCGTGATTTTTCCCTTTATGATTTTGAAAGGTTTTCCACATAAAAATTTGCTTGTCTTCTTCTCTATTTTATTCTCTTCAAAGATTCGCGTTCCTGACAACTGGTATCAAGCTCTGGTTTGGCGAAATAGTGGAGCGACGAATATGGACAAAGAGACGGTGAAGATTGATCGGTGTTATGGCAAGGACTTTGGCTTATGGAAAATGCAGATCAAGGATCTGCTGTATCAGAAGAACTTGCATCAATCTCTGTCGGGAGAAAAACCATATTCAATGAAGCAAGCAAAGTGGGAATTGTTAGATCGGTAAGCTCTGGATGTGATTCGTCTCGCATTGGCGCGAAACGTTGCCTTCAACATCGCCAATGAGACGACAACGGTAGAATTGATGAGGGCGCTGTCCAACATGTACAAGAAGCCTTATGTATCCAACAAGGTATATTTGATGGTCGTCTTTTCAATCTGAAGATGGATGAAGGTGCTTTTGTGACACATCACTTCAACGGATTCAACGTGATCATGGCTCACATTGGCGTGAAATGTAGTTCGCCACATCGTTTCATTTCTCAATAACCTCTTGGCCTTCTTTTGCCGCTTGGTGAATGGCTAAAGATTCGGTGTGCAGCTACTTCGTCACCAGTTATGGCATTAGATTATTGTTGTCGGCACCATTTTTGGACCTTGTTGAGTAATCTCTTCGAATCAACAAAATGCGTCTTATTTGGTGTGCCAAAATTATTATTTTTTTGGCTGGAAATGGCTCCACGCGACAAAATATCTTTTACCAAAGGTTGGATCTTCGGTCAATGCGTAAAGGAAAGTAAATGCATAAACCGGAAAAATAAATTGTAAACTGAAAGATACATTATTTGTGTTGATGATTAGGGGTTTACAAAGAATGCGATGTGGCAATCTATAGCTCACAATCGAATCGACGATTACAAGTGATTATTGAATTTGAAAAGATAATTTCTTAATCTTATCTTCAAAATAAATAACTTCTTAATCTCATTTATTTACGGTTACAAAAAGTCACAATAACATTTATACATAAGAAGTTATAAAAATCCTAAAATAGCGACAATAAACGTAATCACCACCGGTTACGTTTTTTCAATCAATCGCTTGATGTCCACGACTTCCTTGATGGTCTCAGCCGAAGTGGGAAGCTTAAGACACATGCATATAAAAACAATGACAGATTGGACACGTTAAGAAGTCTACATCTCACGTCAATATACGACAATCATACACACGTGGAATCAACCAGCGTGGATCTGAAACTTGGATTTTGTTGAACACGTTGTACCTTTTTATTTTAATGGATGGAGTCGGTGAGGCAGCAATATTGTTATATTTTGCTGATTTTGCACGTAATTTTTCTTTTTATAGTTGTAGCAATAACTTCAAGTGGTTTTTAGTCAACTTTCAAATAAATGTACGGTTAAATGAATCTCACTATCAAGCTTGCTAGAGTAATTAAATTGATTATGCCATTTGAAGGGGTGAAAAATGTTTTATTACTTTATTGTGTATCCGCTAGTATCTTTCAGAATATTTCAACCGATCTTTTCGATTTTTTTAGATATTTTAATTTATAAGCGAAAATCTCAAATTGATTATTGACCCAATGTCTACTGGGATTTATCTTATCTTCGTTTTTTTCTTTATATTCCTATTGTGTTATTTTTTTTCTCCATTTACTTGATTTGATTACTCTTCAATTATACTTCGGTTTTTTCGTCCATTTTATGGGCTAGAACTAGCCTTATTTTTACACGACCACTAATACCATGGATACGCCACACGACCCGTGGTTTAGGGTACTCGACTTGAACTTAATGATCTTCGTGCCATAAAATTATCAATCACTTCACGACATTCTTAAAACAAAGTTCAATTAAATAAGTCAACGTGTTATATTTTTTTACGACACATTTAGATACATTTGAGACACATAACTAGACAGGTTATCGCCGTACCATGTTAGCAAGGAAAAGACAACAGATCTGACCTTCTGCCTAGATTCTGCCGGAGCAGGGGAAGTTGAAGATCAATGCAAATGGAGCTTTCCTTGGCGGTACGGCCGGAGCTACATCGTGCGTGTGCCGCGATCCCACCGGAAATCTCATCGGCAGCTTTGCACAATCGGTGAGGACCGGATCTGCTCTCCAAGTTGAAGCCCTAGCTATTTTGGAGACATTGCACTTTCTTCGCACATGAATGGATCAACACTTTGTGTTTGGAGTGGAGTCAGACAGTCTTTGCTTATCAATTTTAGACATCTTCGTTTGGCCCGCTGTGTAATACTGCAAAGTAAAAAGTAGCGGACTGGGTTGTTAAAGCCCAAATCCGAAATGCTCTCCCTTTTAGTTGGATCTCAAACCCCTCGAGCCTTATGAGATTTATTGTGCTCATAGGCCCACTTCGTGTACTCAAATGGATTATCTTAATTTAATAAAGTTCATCTTTTCGACCATAAAACAATTACCACGACTATTTAGTTACATTTAGACACGTTGGTACTTATCCAAACCCAATTTTAAACGTTTATATAAAAATTATAATCTATTGAACACGTTAAACGTGTCATGTAACTCATTTAAAACAAATTTCAAGAAAAGGAGACGATTGAGAATGATCGTGTTTGGATTAAATCGTGAATTTGACACGAAAAGAGTGGGAATCGGAGGCACGAATTTCTCTGCCTTGCCAAAAGGCTCGATTTCATAATTATATTAAAAATTGCAATTAGGACTTGTTGACTTGTTAAGTCTTGGTCAATGGTCCATCATCATCTCCGACCATCTCCAGATGATTTTCTAAGTCTTGGTCGTTTTTTTTTTTTTTTTCGTTTTAATTTCGTTTTCACCAAACAGATCGCACCCAATCTCCACTCTTCGAAGCACCAAATTCAATCTCTTCAAGATCCAACAATGGCTTCCTCCTATCCCAACGCCAACCCAATCTTCATCGCCGCCGACTCCATCCACGCCCTCCTCTCCCACCAGTCCCTCATCCGCCACTTCCGCTCCACCCTCTCCTCCTCCGTCCACACCCCTCTCCGCCACTCCCACCCCCTCTCCGCCGCCGCTCCGCCTCCCTCCTCCTCATGCCCTCCTGGTCCTCCCACCCTTCCCTCCCTTACATCGGCGTCAAGCTCGTGACCCACTTCCCCGGCAACTCCTCCGCGCTGAACCTGCCGGGGGTCCACGCCGTCTTCGTCCTCTTCAGCTCCCTCACCGGCCAGCCCCTCGCCACCGCGGACGCCACCGTGTTGACCCTGTACCGCACCGCCTGCGTCTCGGGCCTCGCCTCCGAGCTCCTCTCGCGGACCGACAGCAAGGTCCTCGTCATGGTCGGGTCGGGCTCCCTCGCCCCGCATCTCATCAGGGCCCACCTGGCCGCCCGGCCCGGCATCGAGCGGGTCATCATCTGGAACCGGAGCCCGCAGAAGGCCGCGGCTCTGGCCGCGAAAATGAGCGAAGACGAGGGCCTCAGGGCGGTGCGTTTCGACAGCGGCGAGATCTTGGACGAGATCGTCGGGTTGGGAGACATCGTGAGCTGCGCGACGAACTCGGAGGAGCCGCTGGTGAGGGGCGAGAGATTGAAGGCCGGCGCGCACTTGGACCTGGTGGGGTCGTTCAAGGAGACGATGAGGGAGTGCGACGACGCGGCGCTGGGGAGGGCCGGGAGGGTGTTCGTGGACTGCGCGGCGGCGTTCGTGGAGGCGGGGGAGCTGGTCGGGGCGGCGGAGAGAGGTGTGGCGGTGGAGAGGGGCGGCGAGCTGGCGGAGCTGGCGGGGGGCGCGAGGCCGGGGCGGCGGAGCGAGGAGGAGGTCACGGTGTTCAAGTCGGTCGGGTCGGCGGTCGTGGATCTGTTGGCGGCGCAGTTGGTGTACGAGGAGTATGTGAAGAGGAGCGGAGGGAGTTTGTAATCTCTAATTTAGTTTGTCGAAATTATGTGTATAACGTATGGTATGTAATTGATCGATTGTACCGCACTGAGAATTGCTGTGTGTAAGCAAACTACGCTTAAATTGGAGATGAGAAAACAAAATTTTACATTAACTAACTAGGATGCACGCATCATATCGCATGTTAACGTTATATCACAAATCTTTTCGAGTAACTCGAATTACGTAATAGACGATTATTGATTGTATACTTAATACTTGAGAAAAATGGTCACTTGATTGGATTGTAGATACAAGATAGCACATCGTGTATTGCCAATTTGCCGGTGATCTTTGCCACCTTTGATGGTTATTGACGAAGAGCTTTGTTGCAACAATTTTATTTTACACTCGCTCGTTAAATAAAATACATAAATTCAATATGTTCCTTAAATAAAAAATATATTGCTGATTCTCGTAACGAAAACAATTTCAGTTCAATTAATAGGTCAAGCCTTGTTAGCTAGATAAAAATTTTCATAATTCTCCACCCATTTAGATCAATTTTAGAAAACTGCAGATTAAGAAGTTAAATTCTAAAAGATTATGAAAAAAAACCATTTTTTGTATATTTCAAATATTTGATTTGTTAAAATAAAAGTACATCCCTTGGCTGGACGGGACCCGGGTTCCCGGTGTCTTCTTCAGTCGAAACCCGCGAACCGAAAAAGCGATGCAGTTCTTCGGAGGCTCCGACATCAGCCCGTCGCCGCCGGCGCCGACGGCGGCGGGGCACAACGCGAACGTGATGTACGTGTTCAACCGGAACGGCGTGTGCTTGTTCTACCGAGAGTGGAGTCGTCCCCTCCGAACCCTAAGCCCCCAGCAGGACCACAAGCTCATGTTCGGCCTCCTCTTCTCCCTCAAATCGCTGACCGCCAAGATGGATCCGACCAGGTATCCGGAGCTTGAGCTCCGTCTCCGATCTTTCGTTTTTTTCTTGATTCGATTCCGGTCCGTCGAGTTTGCGGGGAAGTTGAATTGCGATTGCAAATGGGGAACCTGCAAAAAGCATCGAAAATGGCGGCTTTTTATATCGGTCTAGGGTAGAATTGTAGATCTTTATGCCTTGTCTTGAGATTGTATATGCTGTCCGGTTGCTTCATGATCTGCTTTGACTTCGATCCCCCCACGTAATTGGTCTCTGAACACTCTCCCAAATGGTTAGCTGCGATTGAAAATGTCGGTGAATTTGCGGAAATGAATGATCTTTTGAAGACTGTTATATTCAATTCGGGCACCGTTTAACGGTAATGCGGTTTTTTTTCTTAATTGGGTATTTAGGATTGCTGTTATCCTCACGACTGATCAGCTAATCTTGGGTTGAAATGTCCAAAAGAAAGCTCATTTTGAGCTTAGTCGGTTCTACCTTCAAATTGTCGTGCTGAGTTCGAGCTAAAAAAAAGAAAATCTAATGTAAGTTGAACCTGCAGCAGAAATTTTAGATGAAAAGACATTTGTGTTTCTTATGTTTATGCGCACTCACCGGTTCTCACGTACATGTAAACGTATTATGATCGCACAAAACATAACTACTCAATAGCTCATTAGTTGCACAACTTAAGCATTGCAAAGGTCGATACTCAACTAAACTTTTTTTTTCTGAGTAGTCACTTCGTCGAGCTCAAGTAGCTCGTGAGTAGGAGGAATTTCTTGTGCCATGAGCTTAAAGTCGCAAAACCTTTTGTACTGTATGGTGCCAAGTATGCAGGAGAAGATGCAGGAGAGCCGGATGATCAGTGATTAACGTACACACTCTCTCTGTTTTCTTCCTCTTGTAGTGCAGACAAAGGAAATCTTGGGGTGCCCCAGTTACCGGGCCAGGGTTGTTCATTTCACAGTTTCCGCACTAACACCTACAAGCTTAGTTTCATGGAAAGTCCTTCTGGTATAAAGGTTAGTTAAACTAATTCTGCAGTATTTGGTTTTATATTGTTTGTGTTTCTACCTCAGATGTTGCTTATAATGAGCTTTTGCTCGAAAACTTTAATAGTCTTAGCAGATTAGCAAGACCTGTTGAACTGAGTATTATTAAGGAACTTACACTTCTTCTGATGATAATTTATCTAAAGGCACCACACAATCAGAAGGTGTTTGTGGTTCCTTGACCACATAATACAAGAGAAATATGGTTTGCTCTTGTTAACTTCTACTCTCTGGGCATCAACTACTTATTATTAATGCTCAATAAGGCAAAATGAATTTGTTGAGAATGACATTGCCGCATCATCTTACTTTTCAACAGTGTTAAGGATTTGCCTTATGCTTGTATCGCTTGCAACTTCAGTAAATATGCTAATGCCAATGCATTCTTAAATCAGCTCTTTGCCCATTGTTGTACTTCTCTTCAGAAGAATCTAGCAACCATCAATCTGCCTTTTCTTTTGTTCTTTTTCATCTTATGCCTGATGTCTTTGCAGATAATCTTAATTACACATCCTAGGACCGGTGATCTACGGGAAGCTCTGAAGTACATATACAGTCTATATGTTGAATATGTGGCTAAAAACCCTGTCTACGCTCCAGGAACTCCTATCAGGTGACTGATGAACTTTTTTTGGTTTAAATTGGTTGATTAGATGACTTGTGTCAATTTTGATGATCTATTATTTGAATAGTGTGCTATAGTGGACTAAAATAGTCCGATTGTCTGCCAAAAATAACTCTGTTAAAATCCTCGATGGTACTTTTTCATCATTTTAGATAATGAATCCTGCGCTGTCCCGGTGCTTTTTATCCGGGTCGTCCGTTTCGGCACCTAGCTTGCATCTTTTTGATATGAGTACTTCTACGGACATAAGATTAGGAATTTGGGATAAAAAGACATTTCGTGTTGACTATTGCTTTTCTTTCCGTGAGTTATTTTTGCATGACTGCAGAAGCTGGTGTTTTCTCTCCTGACACTTTTTCTTATCCTTCTGTGAAGGTGTGACCTTTTCAATACAAATCTTGACCAATATGTAAGGAGCATTTCGTAAAACCTCGGTACGGAGCTAAATACGTATGTGCCTTTTGGTCATGTATCAAGCTTAATGGACAATTTGGAGAGATGGGTAATATGCCCGCTTGGTGTATTATGTGCCTTTCTCTTTGCTGCCAGTTCTAGTCCAACTCCAATCATCCTACGCTTATGTACCAGCTGCTTCCTTCAGTGGAGGGTTAGAGGAGGAATTCTTCTATGCTCCTATTTCTTCAATATGGATGATAGTGATCATTCCTGCGCACATTACTCTGTGGCTCTCCTTTTTCCTTATTTTACGGCTTTGTTATTGGGATGCGTAGATGTTATTGGAAGGCGTTGATTCTCGTGTCTTGATTTAAATCGAGCCCATGTAGGTTTACATGATTCAAAATGCACAAAGCTGCAAGCATCTGCTGTGAAGTTTTGATATTGCCTTGTTACGAGTGATTGATGTTGTGCAGAACCGCGTGTGTTTCTACTAGCTTCGCCATGAAAATATTCCTAGGCCCTTGTGACGCCGGAGTACATATTTTTGGTGGTATTCCTGGATATGATCGATCATCATCAATATGATTCATGCTCACTCCTTGTCATCAGATTGATGGGTATGGATTATGATTGGTCTTAGAGTACCTAAAATAGTTAATCCTAGTCTCCAATATTTGGTTGAGTGGCTATGGCTTGAAGAAAGCAAAAACTTAGAACGGCAGGGCAGGGCCATGGTCAGCGAGTAATTCATCAGGCCAGACATTGCTCAGACCCGACTCAAAAGGCTCCTTAATTGAGCTTTATACAACAATCAAAACTAGATTAATCCTCATCGGCTTCAATCAGTTTCTTGAAAGAAACAAAACTCCAGATTTCACACGTCGAGGTGTAGTCAGAAGTTGCTTGATATTGATAATTTCATGACTGGACTGTATACATAAATCTGTCGCTTCCTTTGTGAATGCATTGTTTTGAGATGAATTCAATACACATTCTGTGGAATTCAATGCACGTTATGTAAGAGCATGCTGATGTTCCTAGCTCCGAAACATTTGTACTATCTCACAATCCGAGTTTGTATGCATCTCCTCCTAGATGACATGAGGACAAAATTACTAATTCAGTGTCCACTGTTTCCTAACACTAAAAGATAAACGTCTTTTTTAGTTAATTGTTGCTCGACATTTGGGATCATAGGACAGATGCAATGAACCAGAGCGAAAATCCTCCGTCTTTCGGAGCCAAATCTCCTTGAAACAAGTAATTGGGTTGCGTTGAAAAATGGGCTTCCCCAACATGTTGTGAGACAGAAGAGGGGGACATGGTAAATCCAAGTTCGTTGGAGTAAGATATGGTGTCGGGTCTCTTCAACTTGGGTAGTAGTGTTCATACTTATGGCGCACTATATATTCATCTCCAAGCATTTCGCCCCATGATTTGTGCAGTGAAATAAGCCAACCGACCCCATCTTGGTGCCTGTTTAATGTTAATTTTGTAGGAAAGTAAAGAATTCATTTATTGCATTGACTCCTTCAATGATTCTCTTGTTTTTTTATTTTATTTAAGATTCGATCGAGTTCATGTAGTTAACAGATCCAAATTACCTTTACTATCAAGAAATAACCATTTTTCGTCGGGCGCACCTATCGCAACATTTGGGTATCCTAGGTGATTTAAGAACGAACGTATGGGCCTCGTTAGGGACACGAACAAGTCCAATATACCATGCTACAGGCCAAACGGTTCGATACATGTATAACTCGTTTAGCTTTTAGCTCTCGCCTTATCCGATTTATGAGAGCAATATGATATCTAATAAAAGGGGGAGGTTATCTATCTAAAGCTTCGTCGCCCTTCAAAAACGAGGTTATTGGCCAACATCAACACCAGTGAATGGGGCCAAAGGGGGTGATGGGTGCCCAGTGGAGGTTGCTGGTGATAGTGAAATCTTGCCGAGTCCCAAAGGAATTTTGCCTTGATTTGGGGGGTCCGTGATGCCTTTTATTTTCTTTTTGGGTCGTCGTCATTAATTGATGCATTCTTTGAAAATTTGGTTTCATCTGCTCAGAGTTGGAGAATGCAGTGCCTGAAAGTCTTTTTGTTCCATTCATGAATTTGTGGTTCCTCGACAGACAGTCCACGACCCCATGCCCATTCCCTCTCCCTCTCGTTTGAAATTTCAAACTTCAAAATGTGCCCTGCGGTCCATAAGATCTTTGTTGAGGTCTATCATGTTTTTGTCTCCAAATGCACTAGGAGTTGTCTCGTCCATTTTGAAATTATAGTTGTAATTTCAACTTTGCTATCTTAAGAAGTTTTGGATAGTCCGCACCAGGATCATAAGCCATGTAAAGGATCATGGTGGTGGAGATAATGCCCACTTTTAAGCTTTTCAATTTGTCGCAACTTGGCTTGATTCGTCAAACCAGCAAGGTCACGCGCCAAGTTGGGTTGTGAGCGAGAAAATGAATGATTTGGGAATGTTGAGATTACTTTAACACGAGATTTCGATATCCTTTCTCGATTAGATACTAATTGTTCATTAGGATGTTGGAATTTGAAAGCAAAATTGGGCTGTTGAAATTAAAATGACAACGAAAAAGAAGACACTCCACGAAATTCAAAATGTCTGTAAAGTGATGATGAGAGAGGAGAAGTTAAAATAGGGATCGCATGAAAATGTCTGTAAAGTGATGGGTGATTATGAAACATTGGGAAGACATGATCTTGTTTCGATGTTGATATGCAATTTCCATTAGTACAACAATTGAGATGTGGAGAGAATCATGTCGTCATTGAAATGTACATGTCTCATCTTGATTGATTGGATCTCAGGTAACCTTACAAATGCTTTATGAGTAAGATAATCTTTCTTCGACAAAAAAAAGAAGAAGAAAGAAAGATAATCTTTCTTAACTGGTGGATACTAAATATAGAGACAAATTATTTTGGTAACCGATTTAATAACCACGGTATCTTTTCCAGTGGATAGATGAGTGCACTCCCAGCGCTACTCAAGGTGAAAAATAATCCATACATTGAATATTCTTACGAAGAAGGATCACTCTTTTGGTGTTGTGTTCATGACAAAAGGAAATGGAATTGCACTCTAGTGTCACAGACCAAAGGTTTTAAGGCAAAATGGGCGAGGAAGGCCGAGATGATCAAACATGAACTCTCTAGAATTCTGGATATCCCAATACATGAACCGTACATCCCCTTTATATTAAATGGGATGTACGGTAGTTGATAGATTGGGAGATAAGATATACACCATTTGATAAATAAGAGATTTACGATATATATATAGGGGTCCCCTCCCCTCATTTGTATCACTTTCTCTATATAGATTCCTAATTCGCAGAGGAGGTATTCTTGGACACTCAACCATTAATTCGCTCTGTTTTGGATGGATTGAACATGTGTATATTTGCCAATGGTCAAACTGGTTTAGGAATATCATATAAATGGTACGTCGAAACCTTCATCTGTGTCCTTACAAAATTTGGACTGCTTCTTTTCTTTATAAAAGACATTGTTATGCTAGTAAAAGAGTGGGCCTAGCGCATCATTAAGGGAGGATTGAAATGTCAATTATCTAGCTCTAAATGATCTTTTTCAGAAGGCACAAAGCAAAATACTACTGTTTTATATGAAGTTACTGTTTTACCGGCTGGTCCATGGCCGCGACAGGCGAAGGTGGCTTGGCTTGGACGCACGGCATTGGTCGGCACGGACACGGCGCGGGCAACTCCTCCGGTTGCAACTGACGGAGGGACGCACGAAGGTCCAACTCAAGGTGGCCTAGATGGGGGTGGAAGAGAGAGGAAAATCAAAATTTTGTTTTGTTTTCAATGTCCACGTGTCAAAGTCTAAGTGGATTCGAGGAAAAAATATTCGCCACTGGGAATGTAGAACCACTGAATATTTTTTACGAAAGAAGACATGAAATCTTCTTCTTTTTTAATAATATTATTTTTTTGTTGGCTTTTTGTAGATGTACTTAGGAGTTATATTAGAAAAATTTCACATCGGAAAATTGATATGGCATGATCCAATTAATAATTCTAGTTAGCCCATAATCATAGATTGAGGTTTTTGAGTAAAAGCGAGTCGATATTGATATATTGACGAGAGTGGTATTGAATTTCTAATGTCCAGCTCATCGGTGATTTGATAAACGCTCCGATGATCCCGACGATAAATTTCTCATCTCAGACAAGAGAATTTTTGCTTCCTATGCTCCAATCCATCTCAAGAGGGTGACGAGAAATTTCTGAAAAAGAGGAGCGAAAACAATAAAAATAGAAGCCAAAAATAGAATTCGGTTATTAACAAAAGTTATTTCAGCGTAACGAATGGTGGAACTAAAAGAGAAATATGTACGTACTAACGCTACACTAGGACTTTTATTCCATGGGGTCGTTCGAGGAGACAGGTGAGAGAATGCAAACAGTGCAGTGGCGTTTGCGGAGGCGGGCGAGCCGAGAGGGGCGGCGGTGGAGAGAGGCGGCAAGCTGGCGGAGCTGGCCGGGGGGGCGCTTAAGAGTCTTGTTACTATGCAAGCCATGCTTAACTTGTAGATGAGAAGAAAAAAAAATTACATTCAAGTAGATCGCAAAGATCAGCGGCACTTTATAGGGGGAGACAATTATCGCTCTCGACTTATCAATATGCTAATAAGATTATCAATCGTAAAATCCGGGATTATTGTTCAATGGAATTGCACTCGAATAAGCAAGGTCAATAAAAAACCAAAAAGGAACAAAACTTGACCCACGGTTAGTGATCATACAAGCGAGCAAGCTCTTCGGGGCTCGGTAATTTGCCATGTCAGTAGCACGTCAAGAAACAACCATTTCAATGTCGGGGGCACCACCAACCTGGATCACTCGAAGGTTCAATCGCCTGTGTCTGCCGCGACGCAGACGGAACTCTGGTCGACGGATTTGCAAAGGATGTCCCTACCTCCTCAGCCGAGCAAACCGAATGCCTAGCAATGGTGGAAACCCTCATATTTCTCTCCTCACGCGCGGATGAAAGACTGACTGTCCAGTCAGATTGTCTAAATCTGGTCAACGCATTGAAGACTACACAAGCTCTGCCGTGGGAACAGAGGGCAATTATTGCTGAAGCACGTGAACTGCTGACATTATTTTCACAATTAGATTGCGGACTGGGTAGCAAAGTCCCACCGGAACAAAACACTCATTGACGACTGGCTGATTTGTCCTCCGCAGGCCCTTAGAGACTTGCTCTGTTTTGAGACTCCCAAAAGGGGTTATGGTTCTACTAGATATCAATGAAAAGCAGTTCATTCTGACCAAAAAAAAAAAAATGTCGAGGGCACACCTATGGTATCACGACATATGGGCGGCCCTGGTGATTCAAGAACGAAGATATGGGGCATCATTAGTGACACGAACATGTCCGATATGCCATGCCATCGGTGTAACAGTCGGACTACCATAGATAATTCTTTCAGATTTTACCTCTCTCGTCTTATCTGATTTACGACATTAAATCTGGTATCGAACAAACCGAGGGTCAGATCTATTCAATAGCTTCGTTGCCCTTAAAAGGGAGTCATTGGCCGACAACAACACCGGTGAATGGGGACGAGGCGTGGGTGGGGATGGGGCACCAAGCGGTGGTTGCTGGTGATATGGTGAAGTCTTTGCCGATTCCCGAAGGAATTTTGCCTTGATTTTGGGGGTCCGTTAGTGTCTTCTTCCCTTCCGGAAGTCGTCGTCATTAATTGATTGCGTCGTTTGAAAAAAATGTGGCTTCATCTGCTCAGGACTGGAGAGAATGCAGCGTAATGCAAAGTCTTTCGCCTCCATTAATGAATTCGTCGTTCCCTCAGCAGTCAGCAGACAGCCCATGACTCCATGCCCACTCCCCCCTCTCTTTCGTTTGAAATTTCAAACTTTAGAACGTGCACTACGGTCGGAAAGATCCATGTTTTAGGGTCCATCGTGTTTAATCTCCTAAAGCACTGAGGACTTGTCTCATCAGTTTTGCCATTATAGTCGCAAATTTCTACGTACCGTATCAACTGTTCATATGCCCGTAAAAGGATCATAACAACGGCGGCAAACATCCACTCTTAAGCTTTTCAATTTGTCGCGACTCGACTCGATACGTTAGATCTACAGGTTCATGTCCCAAGTTGCGCCTGCGAGCAAGAACAAGGAATGGCTCGGGAATGTTAAGAATTCTTCAGAATTCGAAGATGCGACTACCAACGTCCACAAGGGATCTTACAATCTCATGACTTGTCAAAACTAGATGCTCTCCAACATTTTGTTTTCCCAACGTTTGAATTTAAGATTATGTCGATGTGCTCCACTGTTTACCCCAAAAAAGAAAACACTCCAAAAAGGAATGATAGTTGTCCGGATCTAAGGCTCTATTTAGTTCATCATTTGAATGCTGCTTTGAGACTTTAAAGTCCCTTGAGCAAATGCAAAATTATTTGGCAAGTTTTGAGAAGATGCAATTGCATCTCCAAAGCTCTCCAAAGGCCTTTGATTGAATGGAGAGATGGAGGAGCCTTAGGGAACTTACATTTTTGGGATGCAACTTCACTATTCATCGAGCGACTACTGTTCATCTTCTTCAAGCTTTGGGTCCAGCGGCCGACGATTGCCGCCTAAGGGGTCGCGTGACCCCGACGACCCCCGCCTGGGGTCGCCGAACCTCGGGCGATGCCCTGGGTCGCGCAACCCAGGCAAAGCGGTGGTCGTCGGGGTCGCGTGACCCCCAAGCGACAGGCGGCCTGAGGTCGCGCGACCGCCACCTGGGCGTCGCCTAGGTCGCGCAACCTAGGCCAAGCGTTGCCTGGGTCGCGCAACCCAGGCCAAGCGTTGCCTGGGTCGCGCGACCCAGGTGACGCAACCTAAGGTCGCCGGACCTCAGGCGTCGCCTGGGTTGCGCGACCTAGGCGACGCTTGAGGTGCGACGCTTGAGGTCGCGCGACCTCAGGCCGCCTTGCCAAAGGTCAGGTGACGGTGGCCGGCGACCAGATCTAGCGGCGGTGGTGATCGGTGGGTGAGCTCTATCGAGATTGATTTTTTTTTTTAAATATCAGTAAAAGTCTTTTACAAAATATAATTTTTACTAAACGGTATTTAGGCCAAAGTTATTTTCAAATGTGATTTTAAAATACACATTACCAAATTTAACTTACGATTCGAAGACTCTTTTAACTTAAAAGCCTTTGTATTTTGCCAAAAGTATTTCCCAAAATCGAACGAAACGGATCCTAAGTCTATGCACGTTCGGGTGGAGCGCAAGTCCCAAGCATGTGAGAGCGGTCCTTCCTGGTTATTACCTTCACGCATCCAATTTCCATAGTCATACATAAGAGTCAAGCCTATCCTACGAGCGAAGCCTATCCTTCTCGATTGTCCCTCCCCATTAATGTTACCATACGACCAATTGACACTAGGACCTTTCCCATTTTATAAAAAAAAGAAACCCAATTTATTGGCAGAAATAAATAAGAGTGGGAATCTTGGAAAAAGACAGAACGAGGGGGGGAAAGAAAAAGGGTGGTAAAAATAAGAGCCATTTGCGAGGTCACTTGAGGTCCAATCAATCGAAGTTGACCTGACCATCAGACAATGTACATCTCAATGACGATACCACCACGACACGATTCTCTCTCGACATCTCAAACTGTCGTACCAAAAGGAAAAAAAATTGCAGATCGACACCGAAACATTAACGTCGTGTCGTCCCGATGTCTCGTGATGACCCGTCACTTCACAGACGACGCCCCCCCTTCAGGCCATCCCAAAATCTGCAAAAACTCACCCAACCCTAATTCGAATTTACTTCTGTTTTTTTTTCTACACCCACAAAAACAAGGCAACAGTTCAAGAAAAATTAAATAAAAAATAATAACCAAAAACTCACCCACCCACATACCCTCCTGTAAAGTTTGACCGACTGCACAAAAAACAGACCCTTTTTTTTTTCTTTGAAAAATTATGGCTCCAAAGGCCGAATCTCGTTACAATTTACTGTCACTCGCTTCGTCGCCGGAACTTCGTCTTCCCGATTCAGAGGACGTCTCCGGTGGACCGCTAGCGGATCGCGATGATAACGGAGAACAATCTGCAACACGACCCGATGATTAGGCGACGCTAGTGATTCATTGTTCGAAAGAAAATTACCGAAGAATTGAAGCGATAAATTCAGAGGGACAGAAGATTTAATCAAGTTACGTACCGCTGGAAGAGTTATAGGATCTCTTGCAATGCAGGATCGCGCTCTGGATCCCGTCTTGCTGCTGCGCCAGCGAATCGTCCCTCCTCGCCGGCGGCGGCGACGAGACCCCGCCCGACGCCGACGCGGACCTGCTCTTCCCCAGCCGCTTCGGAGCCGCCGCCGGGAATCCGGCCGGAGACTTGCGCAGCGCATGCATCTTGGACGAACCCAGCGGCGGCATCGCCGGAGATGACGTCGCCGACAGCTCGCCGGAGAACCTCGTGGCGGCGGCGGCGGCGTCGGTTTGTTTCCGGGAGACCATGACGTACAGGGGCTTCACGAGCTTCAGGTACTTCTGGATCACGTCCTTGGAGAACCGCTTCGAGCTCGAGTCGATGAAGCTCTCGGGGCTCCGGCTCGGAAACCCCGTCTCGGATCTTCTCGAGCTGTTCGCTCGCCTCAAATCCGGTCGGGGGCCTTCTCGCACCTTGAACTTCAAAGTGAACAGACCCCCTCCTCTGCCTCTCAGCTCTCCATCGTCTCCAGCCTTCTCCCCGTCGCTCGACGAAGCCGACACCGACTTCGACTTCCGGAACATGAAGACCCGGAACTTCGGAGCCGACTTCAGCAGCGAGATCGGGGACTGGGGCCGGGAGCACGGGTCGATCGGGAGGATCTTCCGCAGCGAGAGCGACGACTGGTGAGAGAGACGATAGTTCCTGCCGCTCTTCGTGGTCGTCGAATTCGGTGAGCTCCTCTGTTTTTCTACGCTGGAGTCAACTTCGACCAGGTCGCCATCTTTGACATTTTTCTTGCCGTCGCTGGTACTGCACCCGCGGACGTCGCGATCAGGAACAGTGAGCTCCAACTCGAAGAACGAATCTTCTTCCTCCTCCTCCTCCTCTTCTTCTCCCCCTTCTCCCGCGACCGCGTTGAGGAGCCCGTCGCCACTTCCCACCGCAAGAAGGCTAGGCGCTTGGGCGGCGATGGCGGCGCTGGCGATGGGCCTCCGGAACCTGAGCAAGGTCAGAGCTTCCATGGCGGGCGGGCGGGCGGGCGGGCGAGCGAGGAAGCAAGACAGAGCAGACCCTCGAGGCGGATACGTCAGGGCTGGAGATGGAGAGACGGGGGAAGGGGATGTGCGGAGTGAGGCAGAGGAGGAGAGAGCTTTCGCGCTTCGTTTTATGGGGGCGAGGTTTATCCTCGGCTGCTTGTTGCGGGGTGACGAGAAAGAAAAGGGAAAAGGGAAAAGGAAAGGAGGAGAGAAAATGGCGTTTCGAGGAAAAAAGAAGGAAAGGAAAGCGAGAGACGCCCCTCCCCTTTTCCTTTTCTCTTTCTTTTCTCTCTGTTTTTTTTAACTGCTTTTTTGGAGAGAGACAAAGCTAAGCGCTGATCACCTTTTCCTTTGTTTGGAGGAGCTTTGTCCTGTCTGCTCGCGAGGTCGGAAAAATTGATCTGCGTATATTAACAGTTTACTTAAATAGGGACTAATTCTAATCGTATTGTTAGTGAGTACGAGATTGTGTTTGGTGTTTATGAGCTTGAATTCTAAGTGAGCTGGAATCATGGATGAAATCTTTTGCTCTAGATAATACGGAAGTGTCGGTGCAACTATAAACTAGCCGGCCGACGCATATTTTCATTTCTTAATTATTATCAGTTCAATTTAATGATGTTAATCCTTATAAAAAAAGGATTCATACCACAAAAAAAAAATCCCCAAATCGATACATTTTGACAATATTAAGTAAGCACGTCACGAGAAAATTTTTCTACCGTGAATTCGTAAATATCTCGTCCGCGTCGAGCCACACAGATTTCGATTTCAAATGCGGGTTTATATTTCCTTTTTCACTATTTTCGCAAGTTTCTAAAATTTAGTAATATTTAAAATTTTGACTCGGAAATACCTTCGCTTCTTAAAATCTAAGACACACCCACCAAAAAGTTTTAAGTATATTATTAATCAACAAAGCTCGTACATGGAAATTGCCCCCTCGTATTTTCTCGATAGTAAGTAGATTGTGAGAATTATTTTTCTTACGTTTTAATTTGATCAAATATGCATGCGCAATATCATCTTAACTTGCGTAAGCATCTTTCGTGAAAAAGGTCATCGAATTTTGATTTCCCCAAACGCGCCGGAACTTTTTATGCTTATTATTACATTGCTGCAGATGATGCATTTTCACGAGAAGTCGGTCGATTAAACAGCGAAATGCACATCGAACAGACGATATCAATATGTTTCTTTCCAGATTCTCGTCGGGAATTTAATTGAATCGCGAGTCGAAGTAACATTGTTTCGGTGATTAAATTAGTAACACGAGTGTAAAATTTAATCGAAATATTTAGAGGCGTAGACACACACACGTACAAGCTTCTCGTCCTCATACTTACATGTTTCTCTTTCCCTCTCAGATGTATCTTTCGCTGGCCATTGGTCGGTCACGTGGATGTACAGCGCGGGTCACGTGAGCTCCAGTTTCTTTTTCTTTTTCCCCCTTTTTTTTTTATTTTTTGCAGAGGTCAGAAAGTCAGACGTATTTTATGAATTGTCCGATGTCGAGTGTCCACTACCGCGCCACGCGCGGTCCCTCGCTCTCGCCTCGGGTCAACCCTTTCATCATGCTGGTGGTTGACCGCCGTACCGGCCGAGCTCTCTTCTCTTCCTTTTTCTTCCCTTTTCCCGTGCCATTTCTATCGGAATCAAACTCGGCATCCATCTCTCTTTTTGATTCCACCGATTTTTGGGTCGTTTTTGCATTCATCGAACACCCAAAATAAAATGAGGGCGCGAAAATCTTTACGGCTTTGTTTGCTTCGCAAAAAAAAAATGAACGACATGAAAAATATTTTCACGAAAATGATCGATTGCATCGTTTGGAATAATTAGTTGATGGAAAACATTTTCACTGTCGACAACAATTTGCGCCTAAATATTTTCGCTGACGATGAAAATATAATTTCTTGATTAATTTTTGTGAGTAATATTAGCGATCGTATTTTTTTTTTTAAATTATTTATTTTTCATGGAATAAGACGAAATCCAAGAAGAGGAAATGCTTTTTTTTTTTTTTGGCTTTCTAGGATTCTGAGGTCGTGAGGTGGTGTAAAAGGTGAACGGAGGAGGATCCGTAATGTCCAATCCAGCTCGAGGGGGGGGGGAGGGTGAAGAGAAATTTCTGGAAAGAGGACTGGAGAAACAATTAAAAGAAAGCCCAAAAGGAGAGAATTCAATATTCGCAAAAGTCATCTCACCGTCAAAATTAAAAAGAATAAAATGGAATAATAGCAATAAATAACAAGAGTGATTGTCACGTTAGGATACATCGGGGAGCGTAAGCGTACTTTACCTTTTTTTGCAGGGGTCCTAAAAGATACTCCTCGTCAGAAAGGGAAGGAAATGTGGCTCTTTACCGTGTTTTGTTGCTCCCTATTGCTCATGGACCAACCCCTTTAATTAAAAAAAAAGACCACCCCCTTTTTTTTTTTTTGGGACATAGGAGGTCCGGAGAGTTATACTTTGGCCCCCCAAAAAAAAAATTGAAGATGGCCTTAGGCTTTTTCTCTTTTGTTATCCTTTTTTTCACAGAAAGAAACGGGTTTGACCTGCTGGTAGAAGTTTAGCGCACTCGGTACCTTTTCTCTTACTTATTTATTTATTTATTTATTATTATTCGTTATTTACACCCCTTTTTTTTTTCTCTTTATTTCTTCCTTTTGTTCCCTTCTTTTTTTCCACCCGAAAGACGCGTTGAATAAAAATGAGCCTTTTCTTCGCCATCGATCAAAAGAGCTCCTGTTTTTTTTTTTTGGATAAATGCAGCAAAAATCCTAAACTTTATCAAGAAAGTGCAATTGAGCTCTAAATTTTTTCTTTTCAAACGTGCAATTAAGTCATAAAACTTATTACAAAAGTGCAATCGAGTCCTAAAACTTTCAAAAAAATGCAACAAAATCCTAAAACTTGTCACGAAAGTACAATCAAGTCCTGAAATTTTCGAAAAGCGTAATAAACGGAAGAACTAGATCGGACCAATTTGATAAGTTTTTGGATTTGATTGCACTTCTGTGATAAAATTCTAGGACTTAATTGTACTTCTTGAAATTTTTAGGATTCAATTGCACTTTCGCGACAAGTTTTAGGACTTGCTATGCACTTATCCTTTTTTTTTTTTACCATCTCCATCGGCTCGAGGCATCAAGGGATTTTTACATGCATTTCGTAATGAGAAAATTATCAGGTAAATTCGTTCTACGGACGATTGGAATTCCTGAAGTCGCTACGGTGCAAAATGTAGGAAGGCAACGACTTGGAGCGACTAATAAATGGAGAGGCGGGGGGCAATAAACATAATCATTTGTTTGTGGGGGTGGAGACAAATTTGCAGGGGAATATCTGGAGGGGCTAGGGGACGTGCCTCGTGCTTACTACAGCAGCCTTTTGTGGTCCTAAAAAACTTACGCCCTTCACTTTTTTATTCGTTCTCTATTTAAAAAGCTAGATCGAAACGTACAGAGATGAATATGAAAATTACTCAATCGGTCCGAAATTTACTGATATGAAGGACTCAATTGGTAAAATTAAAAAATTTAGGACCGAATTGGAATCCGTACAATTTTTCTCGAGATGAATTGATAAATGCGAAAAGAAAAATTCTCTCTCGCGTATGGAAAATTGTAAGTAAAGAAAAAAAATGATATTTGGGTAATTATGAAATTATGACATGAATAGTATCTTTGCAAAATCCTACGTCTCGTATGAAATGATGATGATACAAGGGGCTTTGGAATTTGTTTCTAGCTTTATCAGTAAAAAGGAAGGGACCGAAGTTCCCCCCACCATCATCATTCGCTGCCTCCTTTGTTGTCGTCTCAGGTGGACGATGATTTGGTTATATTCCGAGTCCTTTTTTTATATTGATTATATTCCCTTTTTTTAAACTTAAAAAAAGAGAGAAGAAAACCTGTTTTTTTTTTATGACTTTTATGTACTTTGTCTTTCGTTTTTATGGTTTGTTTGTCGGTTGTTGCCCTCAATTTTCACCAATGGCTGGCGGGTCCAATGGTTCCCCTCAACAATTCTTCCCCCAACAAGTCCAAAAAAATAAAGTAAAATCTTAGAAATCCGTTCATTAGTTATCTACTTCACGTTTTAAATTTGATTTATTAAGTCGAAACTGTTCATTTTTCGGCGTACTAAGCCTCGAAAACCTTTTTAATTTTGATCGATCGAGGACAGCGTTCAATTCCTTTTGTTGATTGGAAAAAGCGACACGGAATGTCATAAAGTGAGCCGCGTGTGGCTTTCCAGGCTTGAAGTTCCATAGGAGCTAATTAAGAACTTAAGATTGTCACGTTGTTCCTCATCGAGTTTGACTAGATTTCTTAGTCTGGTTCAGCGACCATTCCAGTTCCACCATTACACGGGATGAGCATTCCGTTCTTTGCCTTAATGACTACTCCAAATTATTTGAACGAGTAATTTACTTGTAACTTTTGATTCCAACCTAAAGAATTGGCATTTTTTCTTCATCCATTACTTTCTTAGCTCATTCTATTCCATCGTACTAGATACGCAAAACGTTAATTCGATCGTGATATCCGATCCTCACTTTTAGCGTGGGGAAAAAGAAAACAGTTGCCCGAGTTTTTGGGCTCTTGCACTTGAATATATTCGATCTGTTACTAGCGAATTTAAAATCGATATAAGTGATTTATATTTTAAATTTCTCACGATCCTTCCCAAATAAAAAACCGCATATGCCAAGAAGTTGCCCGCTCAGCTTCTGGCTGGTTTCCCTTTGCCAAATATCAAGTGGGAGTGGGGCAACAGCTAAATCCGAACTCACTCTTTCATTAATAAAATCATGTGGGGATTGACTGATTAGTGGAATAAAGCTCGCAAGTTTGGTCAAGTTTTGCTTCTTTGGCCGACGTCAAAAGGAAACGTCTTTAATGGCACGAAAGCCATCTTCACTTTCGGAGAATGGCAACATCTAGTTTGAATAGTTTGAGGCACATTCAACATAGGCGCCGTCCATAAGCAAAGCCTCGTGATCGAATTGACACTCTGGCTATGAACTTGTAGCTGAAATAAAAGCGTATGCACTTGGATCGGTCCTAGGGTCGAGCGAGCCCACCGACGAGCTCACTTGATTAGCCCGAGCTTAAGAAGGAAACAACCAGTTCAGACCCACGACTTGCACTTCG